GCTCAGCGGGGAGTCTGCTTCTCTTTCTGCCTCTGCCCCTCTCCTCCCACGCCCCCCCCCCCGCCCCAGCTCATGCTCTCTCTCTCAAATAAATAAATAAATTAAATCTCAAAAAAAAAAAAAAAGAAGACATGAGTAGACTGAAGCTTTAGGTCCAGAACTGCAGGTAAAGTTATATAAATTTCCAAATTATATGATATCATAAATCTTCATTCAAGATTTTAAAAAATAATGAACATTTTTTTAAATGTTTCAAGCTTTCTAAAATGAATTATTCCATGATATAACCATATACTACACCCATACAAGGTATTGGGCATAGGTTTTGTTGTTGAGGGGGAGTAAAAGATATTTATAAATAAGTTGCTTAATCTCAGTTCTAAAGAGAAAAAATAAGGTGTCCAGATTGTCCAGAAAAATGTGAAATTATGGTTTAAAGAGGCTGAAAGAAAACTGAGTGCTACATTAAAAGAGGAGAGAAATAAGAGGGGCAAAATATCCAACCAAGCATAGTCTAATCTTGGCCTCTACAGAGGGGAATGTCTAGATGTTTGAGGATACACCCATGATAGTAATACAGTGCTCTAGCATATGTGGAATTTCTGGATAAGAAGTGTTGCTTTAGGGGAACAATTCTCAATCAAGATGTTATTTTGGTCATAAACTATAGTTGCTAGACTTCATTTCATAGTATTCGTTGTTCAAGTTGGCTAAACACATGGGTTGAAATCACACTACTCTACATTTTAGCTGTGTGCCCATGAGTAGGCTATTTAGGCAATCAGGACATTAGCTATATCAATTGTCATAATATTAATAATGGTGTCTACCTCAAAAGGTTATTGTGACAATACCAAATAAATACATGAGTAGTGCTTTGAACAGGGTCTAGCACGTAGCAGGCATTAAATAAATGTCTGCTATTTTTTTTTTTTGTAATGGACTATGTGATCTTATTCTATAAAGCTGAGAAGCTGACCAAGGCACCAGCCCCAGCCATCCTAGTCTTCTTTGCATTTTGCAAATTTTTGAAGATCCTTCTTGCTTTAGGGTCCTTGAATATCCTATTCTCTCTGCCAAGAACATTCTTCTTCTCTTTCTTTACCTTGCTAATTCCTTCTCAAACTTCAGGTATCTGCTATCTACTCCTCTACAGGGAGGCCTACCCGATTAGTCCTTTCACTCCTGACTCCCAGTATAACTCAGGATTATCCTGTAAATGGCATTAACCCATTATCTTTTCCTTATATCCTAATCAAAAGGTTTGGTGTGCATGTGTGTGTATGTAAATGTGTGTGAAATCCTCCCTATGAATCCTTACCATTTTCTAAGCTCCCTGAGGGCAGACACCATGTCTATTTTGTTCATCAAACAAAGGCTTTTAGCATGTCATCATCTTTCAATACATATTTGTTAAATAAAAGAATGAATAAAAATAAATTCAAGAGAAATGGAACTGATTATGATTAGCACACTGATAATGCCAAATCCTAGAATACTTTACTGTTTTTTCTTAAGACACACAATAAATATATTGAAAAAGAAGCATAAGTGAACTTCTCTTTGGTATCTCCACAACTTCTCTTTGTGGAGATATCATTATTCACAACACATCCAGAATCCCCTCGGAGATTTTTCCAAGAGAAAAAAGAACAAAATAACCAAACATAAATCAAATTATCATAACCTCCTTATAAAATATAAATTAAACATCAGTAAATTACATCAAGTATAATGCTTACTAAGTAAAGTAACTAATCTCTTAAAATCTGTTCTTTTCTCGATTGTGGATATTTTGTAATCAGAGTATCCAGAACAAGAATTTTTTCACTAAGTGATATAAAAACAAAGTGACTTTCCTTTTAATAAATATGAGAATCACTTAAAGACCAACAGAGGGACATACTCTAAAATAGAAATAACTGGGCGCCTGGGTGGCTCAGTTGGTTAAGCGACTGCCTTCGGCTCAGGTCATGATCCTGGAGTCCCGGGATCGAGTCCCGCATCGGGCTCCC